AAGTGCCACCATACCAGGCTAATTTTTGTATTTTTCTTAGAGACAGGGTTTCACCATGTTGGTCAGGCTTGTCTCAAACTCCTGACCTCGTGATCCACCTGCCTCTGTCTCCCAAAGTGCTGGAATTACAAGAAGCATTGCTGTGTAATTTGGGAACACATTTCCTAATCACAGTTCTACCACAATGTTGATTCTGATTTTTATTAAATTTGTTTCTGTATATTTTCTGTTTTTATATGGCATACATGTTATATACATGTAAATGAAAAATATCTAACTCAAAGAATTGCATGTTTAATATTAGATTTAACAATCATTGCTTATGTGCAAATTGTTGGACCAAGTCATATTTTCTCCTTTGCTTCCAATGGATGAAATCCCATTGCTATGCAACCGCTTTGGTCAGGATATCTTTATTTTTAACAAGTACTTGTCTATTTAAATAAGTACTCAAATGGCATTTATGGGGTATGTGAGTGTCTATAAAAAAGAAAGCTCTTTTATATGGATACACACTTGCAAATTACCCAGACTAGACAGGCACACAAATATTAAAGCAATGGGAATTTTTGGCAAGTTTCAGAAATTCATTGGAGCGTAATTAGAAAACACTTGTTTGCTATTTGTAACTCTTCAAGAATTGCTCTATACTTTAAAACTAGCCTACATGGCTTTAGTTCCTTTTTTATGACTTTTTAAATTTTTTTAATTTTTTTAAAAATTCCAGGGTACACGTACAGGATGTGTAGGTTTGTTACATGGGTAAACATGTGCCATGGTGATTTGCTGCACCTATCAACCCATCACCTGGCTGTTAAGCCCAGTATGCATTAGCTCTTTTCCCTTTTAAACTGAGTAAAGCTTCCTAAATGGAAGTAGAAAGTAGCCTTTTTAAAGTGTGAATCTCTCCCTTGATAATGTTCACAGAGTCAGTGAAATATACCTGAAAGTCAAGGCCGAGGTCCTCTTTTTCCTTTGAAATATTCTGTTCAGAAATGAGTTTGTTCTTCTGAACCACAACTTTATTTCACATTCTGTGATTGGTTTTCCATAATCACTAAATAGGAGGGGAGGACAGCAGACAGGTAGAGAAACACAAGCAAAGTGGATGGAGTGACATTTATATGAAAGATACAGCCTTTTGATTTCAGCTGCTCAGCAGCTGCCATGTCTATTGTTCTGGTTTAGGAAGAACTCCCACTGGAGAACTCTGTTCAGTGCTTCCTCCCCCTTACAGTAATTCTTCTAACCTTGATATTGATTTTATTTTCTTAATCAAGCACTCACATAGTACTTATGATATATCAGCTTCTGTGTAATTGGTTTACATTATTAGCTCATTTAATCCTCATAACAGTCCTATAGCTTGGTACTAATACTATCCCCTTTTCAGAGAAGAAGAAACAAAGGGTCATAGAGGTTAAATAATTTGCCCAAGGTCTCATAGATAGTATCAGAGCTGGGATCTAAACCCAGGCTATCTGGCTTCTGATGCCATGTTCCTGTCCCGGATATTTCTTTGATGATGTAAATATCATTCTGTGATTTTCAAAGACATGAGTCCTGAGACTTGGAACAGTGGCGTATTCATCTACGGATCATCCAGGAGCACTGACTCCAGGAGCTGTGCACTTTCTACATGTCACAGCAGCCTCCTTGTTATATCAACTTTTGATTAATGAAAACAACCAGGCAAGTGTTTTGTTTTTTTGTTTTGTTTTGTTTTGTTTTTGAGACAGAGTCTCGCTCTGTTGCCCAGGCTGGAGTGCAGTTTTGTGATCTTGGCTCATTGCAACCTCTGCCTCCCAGGTTCAAGTGGTTCTCCTGCCTCAGCCTGCTGAGTAGCTGGGGTTACAGGCATGTGCTACCACACCTGGCTAATTTTTGTATTTTTAGTAGAGATGAGGTTTCACCATGTTGGCCAGGCTGGTCTCTAACTCCCGACCTCAAGTGATCTGTCCGCCTCAGCCTCCCAAAGTGCTGGGATTACAGGCATGAGCCACCATGCCCAGGCAAAACCATCGGGAAGTTATTCATAGAAGCAAACAACTTCAATGAATTATTTAAAACTGTTGCTGCATTCAGTCTAATGCAATTTCAATCCAGTAAGCAATAAACTTTACATAAAAGCAAGATGGTAGAAAAAGTTAGCACACAGGGTTTTGATAAACATTAATTAGATTGTTTTACTGGCTGAATCATACTTTCGAAACATTATGTCCAGAAGATATGCTTTACCAGAAGGTTAAGTACAGTCTTCGCAAGCTTCATTCCGCTCCATTCTTCATGTATTTACCAATAACGGAGAGAGAAGCTGGATTCCCATGGGTTAAGGAGTGAAGTGAGAGAAAGTCTGTGTGTGGTAACTGAGAGTGTAGGGAATTGGGTTTGGGTTGTCATTTCCTGCAGGGTTCCTATGTGTTTCAGACATCTGAGCAGGAGTGGGCTGCTGTCTACAACCACCCTTTCCATGTCAAAGGGTGTCTGACTAGTGTCTGATGGCATGTGGGTTTGGGGAAATTGACAAGATGAACACCCACACAAACACATGCAGGCTCATCTTTTTCTTTTCCCTCCTCTGTGTGCAGCATCTTTATTCAAACTACAGTTGGAACTGCTGCTGGTATCAGGACAAATGCTCTAGCTGGACTGAATTGAAATCATTTCAGATCAAATATCATGTGCATGTTTCCAAAGGGGAGGCAGACATTTCCAATTGTTTTACTTTTCTATTTAGTCCAGTAGCCTTTCATACGTGCAAGATAATTTTCTTCTATCTTTATGTTATCTTTCAAAAAAAAAATAATCGTCAGGCCGAGTGAGCACTGTCTGCCAAGGGAGTGTAGGGAAGATCTTCCTTGGCTTCCGAGTGCCTAGGGTCAGGCCC